TTATACTTATTTAAGTACGACGTATTTGTATATTCTATTTTTTTTATTTTTTTATGGCATCATCCGGGTTTTCAAGACCCGGTCAAGGAATTGGAAAATTCCTTGAATGGATTTCTCTGAGCACAAAATAGAGTGTTTAGTTGAATATTCGTTGGTGTCGAAATGGAGCACCAAGAGTGGTTGGACATCTATGGTAATTAATGGTAACATTGATTATCATAGACGGTCGATATACTTTTGTAATCTCCGATCATCAACCAAATCCATACCATTATTGTAGAAAGACAATAATGGCTGTGGATTAAAGTTGATTGATTCCTAAGTTGGAACCTTAGGCGCCCCCCCCCCGAATCCGATTTATTTGGATCAATAGGGAGAGTAGATTATGATGGTGTTTTACGACGTTAGCATTAAAGAAAATTACAACACTATTATGAAAACAATAATGCATTTTTTTAGTGCGGTCGAAAGAACACAAAAATTCTCTTGGCGGGGTCTGTTTGAACAGACCCGGCAACTAAAGGGACTTCTTTTTCGGGTTCCTTTAGTTGTCTCTATGTCCATGCATAAGGAGGTCGCCCTAGCGGGCTGCGATTTCATTAAAACAGTTGTGAAACTGAAACGACATTCAGGTTTTCTGTATACTGCTTTGTATTTAAAACAGTGTACAGTTTCCCTTCAGCGTTATTACGCTGGGTGTTATTCTAAGAATGACACCATGTCTGTTCCAGTTTCATTGACCCGATGTGGAATTCCCAAGATCATACCTGCGGTATTACGAAAACACGTAAGGGCAAAGCCTGATCATGGTGATTATTTGGTCAGGATATATCTATCTTGGTTTGGATTATCAAAATAGATTGCGGTGGCTCCTAAAGTGAAGAAAGCCACTTTCCAATCAATTACGACTCCTCACTCAGATATTGATAGTGTCCGTGAAGTTCTTGGAGAAATGAAAACTTCTTGAAAGAAGCTTCGACCAATGTATCTTCCACATCTCCAATCCATACCTCTTGAAAAGGGTATGAATTGGAAACCTACCTGGAAAAGTACTCCATTACTCGACAACTTTGTCCGCCGGTTTCAATATTCGGTGGATGATGTTGTAGACGGAGCAGCGGCTAAATATGTTAAAGAACACAATATCTTTGTGAACTTAAAGCATGAGATAGCAGCGTTCATCTTTAATGTGAATAAAATTCATTCCATTCAAGATGGGTTCTTTTCCCCTGGTATTCTTTGGTCTCAAAGGGTTTTATACCCATTTTATTCTAATAATACCAGGTTTGCTAATGAATCCCTTGATTTATTTGAAAAACAAGTAGGACCCCCTTTCTCTAGCTTATTAGGGGCCTACCAAGGAGTTCCATTAGTGACTGGTAGATTGGCTCAGGCCATTGAAGGTGGTGGGAAGCGGAGGATCTTTGCTATATGTAATTATATAAAACAAAGACTTCTGCATCCCGTCCATATTTGGGCTATGACTGTACTATCAAGTCTTAAGACTGATGGTACATTCAACCAAGAACGTCCGTTGCAGTATCTAAGACTTAAAAGACCGAAGTCTTGTTACTCTTTTGATTTAAAATCAGCAACAGACCGTTGGCCATTGAGTGTTATATACACCTTAATCGAAATGATTTGGGGTAGTACTTTAGCATCTTCAATAGTCAACAGTTCTTTGGGTCTTAACACCTTTCTCGTATCACCTCCTATGGTGAAGAAGATTAGTGAAGTAGCCTTTCTTACTGGACAACCGTTAGGTTACTACGGTTCATGGTCACTGTTCTCGCTGTCCCATCACTATATAGTGTGGTTGGCGACTTTGAAGGCTTATCCGCTACGAAGCACCCCGTTTGTTGATTATGCCCTTCTTGGTGATGATATCCTAATCACCGACAAGAAGGTGGCCAATCAGTACAGTAGGTTATTGGATAGACTCAGTGTTACCATTTCATTTGCTAAATCAATAGTATCTGAAAATGGAACAATTGAGTTTGCTAAGAGGTTTTGGATACGAGATATGCAAAAAGATATCTCTCCCATCTCTCTCAAAGCTTTAACCTCCTGTAGAACGACTGTAGGCCTGTGCCAATTGTCCTGCCGATACTCGATAGAAATATCGACTTTACAAAGGCTAGCGGGTGCAGGTTATAAGGTCCGTTCTCGCCTGATGTCTACTCAGTCACCACGATGGGAAAGACTAAAGGCGGCTGCTTGTAAACCAAACAGGTTACATCTATTACCTCTTGAATTTTGGATTGGAAGGCGGCGCCCTCGCCCCTCAATCCTTATTTGAAGGCGAAAATAATAGATTATCTGCGTGAGGCTGTAAAGCCTAAGCAGATACAAATCTTTCCAAAAGATTTGGTATTTGATGGAGAACGGGAAATCCTTGAGCGGGCTGTTATCCTTAATTGGATGAAACAGTGGTTGACTTGGCTTTCTTGGTATCATACTGTAGCATTATCACCAGATGTGACCATTGATCAACTATTTGATGTTCCTATGTGTGCCACTTCTTGGAAACGATCAAACGAAGATTATGAATTAATCAAGTTTGGGTACGTTTGGAAGTGTTACGATATGGGAGCAGGTTGGAACCTTTCAACTACACCTAGGTGGTTGTTTGGTCCTCCAACTCTCAGTTTTATATTGGTTGATCAATAGGTATTTGGTGGTCTTCATGGCAAGGATCTCCTTATTAGTCCTAAGGATTTACCATCCTTACGGAAAATGGATATAAATATTAGAATTTAGGTGCATCTGAGCACATAAACCCTTTTGGTAAAATTCCGCAAGGAACGGTGACCAAGAGGGTGATTGTGGTTGCAGTCTGGTTAACTGCTTCCACAAACACCCAGCCTGCTGATAGGTAATATGTAATAGAAGAATCAGGATGTGCGAGATATGGATATGAAACTGGATATGCTTGAACCGGACCGCATCTCGATTTGCACATGGATAATCTGCTGTATTACCCTAAAGAGTCATACTCATATCCAGGGCATTTTGTCCTTGAAAGAGCGTCATCAGTCTAGCTCGTCATGACTCGATCATGACCTTAGGCGGAATTGGTCTTGGCCGGAAGAACAAAAGATACTGGCAAGCACAGAGCAGCCGTCAAAAGGGGTTTCGTAGAGTGGTCCTAACCCCAGGGTAATCCTTGGAGCTTTCTCCATGCCCGACAAAGAGAACTTGGTGTGAATCGGGGTAGCTAGCTACCAGCTCGTCTAACTAATGTACTGGTGTAATTCCATGCAAATATGGCTACCCGGCGAACATGAGGTCCCACTCACTATTCATGGCCAGACAAAAAGGGACCACTAGCCTAGAGAATCAAATAGGCAATAGGCCCTGAGTTCACCCGCTTGCCCGAAGATGAAGGGGAAGAAAGGGATGCCAGGGACAGAGTAACCGGAGGGGGCATGAAATGAACCCGGAAGGGAAGCCACAGGAGCAGGAGTGGAGAGAAAGCGAAAGAGAAAATGTGTTTTCCCATTCGATTGATCGATTAAGAGTCCCGAACCGAAGCCCAAGCCCATACTCTGACTAAGAAAAGTGGAAGTTCCTACCCTGGGAGCATTGACATATGATCTTTCCGGATTAGGGAGCAGAGTATGAACCAGAAACCAATATGAAAGAAAGTCATCAAGCAAGATAGCAAGTGTCAAGTGTAGGTCTCCCATTCTATTACTGGGAGTTAGAACATGAAATGAAGAAGTAATAAAGAACATTACCGCCCCAAATCTCATTGATTAGGTCTTCTGGATCACCTGATAATCGTCTAATCAAACAAATGTCATGACCTAGTGGGCTTTAGGACTAAAGCAGAGAAAGAGATGTCCTTGTCAGAGGACCAAGCCACTCGAACAAAGTGAGATTAGTGGAATAAAACTTCTTGACCGACGAGCTTCAATATGAGCTTCGAGAAAAGCATGCAAAGCACACTAACCTAACTCAATGAAGGCGACTGCCAGCACTGACTCAGACACACATGTGGGCGGTTGAGTAGTGGGTTGATTTGATCAGAAAAGTAGTATACCTCCGACTGAATCAATATCGCGTTCTCCTTTGCTGCTATGAAGGAAAGCGGTATGGATAGGAAAGCACAAGTTCCGACTAAGCGGCTTATAAAGTCTTCTCTTGTACCTGGACCGTCGGCTTATATCTTTGGCTTAGTTGGAAAACCCTCCTATCGCTAAAGAGCGAGGTTTTCACCAGCACTTGAGCTAGTAGCCAATTGCATTGACATATGATCTTTCCGGATTAGGGAGCAGAGTATGAACCAGAAACCAATATGAAAGAAAGTCATCAAGCAAGATAGCAAGTGTCAAGTGTAGGTCTCCCATTCTATTACTGGGAGTTAGAACATGAAATGAAGAAGTAATAAAGAACATTACCGCCCCAAATCTCATTGATTAGGTCTTCTGGATCACCTGATAATCGTCTAATCAAACAAATGTCATGACCTAGTGGGCTTTAGGACTAAAGCAGAGAAAGAGATGTCCTTGTCAGAGGACCAAGCCACTCGAACAAAGTGAGATTAGTGGAATAAAAACTTCTTGACCGACGAGCTTCAATATGAGCTTCGAGAAAAGCATGCAAAGCACACTAACCTAACTCAATGAAAGGCGACTGCCAGCACTGACTCAGACACACATGTGGGCGGTTGAGTAGTGGGTTGATTTGATCAGAAAAGTAGTATACCTCCGACTGAATCAATATCGCGTTCTCCTTTGCTGCTATGAAGGAAAGCGGTATGGATAGGAAAGCACAAGTTCCGACTAAGCGGCTTATAAAGTCTTCTCTTGTACCTGGACCGTCGGCTTATATCTTTGGCTTAGTTGGAAAACCCTCCTATCGCTAAAGAGCGAGGTTTTCACCAGCACTTGAGCTAGTAGCCAATTTCTTAGATAGGGCTTTCAGCTAGTTTGTGTAAGCGTCTTTGTAAGCAATACCCCAAAAACTCTGACAAAAGAGATTGAATGACAGGTTAGTTCACTTATTTCGGGCATTATCTTACGTCATTCGTTAAAGCGCTTTCTATAAGCCTTTAATTTAAGGACGTTTTAAAGAAGAGAAAAAGTTCCTCCTTGTCCTTTAGATTAGAAGAAGAAGAGGAGAAGCAAGAATGGCAATAACCTCCGCTATTTCTGCTTCGGAATTGCTACTAGAAGGGAAAATCTCTTTAGAGAAGGAAAGTCCTAATGAAAGCTGGAAGGTAAGTCAATTCTTTAGGATAGATCGAAAGTTCCATCGATTTAGGTGTAGGAGGAGTAAGGGCTTTAGCCTAGGAAGACGACGGTGCTAGAGAATCAGTGATTGGGGGAATAATGATTCCCGAAGGGAGGTAACGATCTAAGCCTCTTAGGCTTGGCACAAGAACTCTTCTCTCACCCGCTGGAAGGAAGTGTTGTGACCCTGGTAGGATGAATTGAATTAGCTAACGAATCTTCCGTAATGCTTGCAAAGAAATCAGAAGAAAGGCTTCTGCCCCTTGGCGACTCGGAACTAATGGGAAGAAGTGAATCAGAAATGAACTTATATAAGAGCGCTTATTCCGCTTCCTTCTACTCTTGAAAGATGACACTTTCACGACGTTGGATAAATACCATTTGAAGTTAAAGAGCTAACCTCCAACCTCTTCTTTAAAGCTATCTAAGAGTGGTTGGGTATCTGTCTTAAGGCTTAGAAATCCTTGACCTTATGATACATTCGGTAAGCAGCGCCTCCCCAGCCACAACAACCCCCCGTTCACCAGCCTCCTCTACAAGAGCATACTGGTGAACATATGTCTTTGGAAAATTGGGAGCGGCTTCTTCAAAATCACAAGGAGGTTGCCGCGGTGATTCAAGAGATTCACCGGGAACTCCACACACGCATTCTGGGGGGTTTTCAAGCCGAGCGCCTCACAGAAATGCTGGAGGAGAGACATGGGGGGGGAAAGGATGGGGGAAATCCTCCAGAGTCTCCAAATAAAGAGACGCCATAACCCCTACTTTTGGGAAGTCCAAACGGATTTCCGAAACTTACGGGGTTCTGGAGGTACGGAGATGCAACTGCAAAAGGAATGGCAGGGGCGCGCATGACCCCTCCAGTCAAGAATTAGGGCCTTACAATCACTAGCCAATTTGCTTTTCTCTCTTGCCTTTCTTCGTTCATTGTTCGATGATTCTTCTTCGCCTTGTTGTGTTGGCTTGTTCAATCAATCTCATAGGTTCCTATGGCTCGTCTTATACGAAAGGGGATATACCAAAACCATAGGGAAGTAAAGTTGCGAAAAAGAAGCTTTTTTTGAGCGTATATAGTGGTATAGTCCTTAATGCGCAGGAGCAAGAAAATGGATGCACCTGAAGTTGATGAGCAGGGAAGATGTCTTTTTTCTAGTTGGCCAAGCGGCCCCGTCTTCCATAGCCAGGGATTAGTCATTTAGGGATCAGTTGATGCGCTGGGATGAAAGAAAGTTCTTCGGTGCTCTTTCGGGACGAACAGTAAAGGCACATGAAGGTATTGGCTGTTACTATCGATCGGATGGAGAGAACCGCGGCGCTTTACCTTACCAATATCTAAAGGCGAAGATGTCTTTTCGACTAGCAAGTTTACATACCTAGGTCCTAAGTTTCTCATTACTCGGTGAAGTCTGATTTGAGCCCTGGTCAAACTGATCTCTCCGGCAGGCGGAGGATGGTCTCATATTAGCAATGTTTTGATTGCGCCTATCTGTCGTTGCCAATGAACCGATCACCAAGAGAAAGTATCTCTCTTAATCTTAAGGTGAAGCGCCTTTTAGCCAGCTGAAGGAAGGTCGCGTTAGCGCCCCTGCAATCAGAAAGCCTTTTGATAACCTTACTACTAATAGAAATGGGAAAGATGCGCTCAATCCCTTGCTTCTTGCTCCAACTTAGGAGTAGGGGCTGACGAGCTTTTTCCGCAGGCTTCTATGCTAGTTGTAGCGCGGTAGCGCTTTACTAATATAATAGAAAGTCAAGTTAGTGTTATGGTGCAGCCGAAGGCCCCCTCTCCTTACAGTCAAGTGGCTGAACGCCCCTCAAATCTTCCTTGAGTTGAAGTCACTGGGACATCTACCGCTTGGATCCTGCCTTGTTAGTCATCCGTAGAGCTAAAGGGAATTTTTTAAGCCATTCCCATTCCCACACACCAATACCAACCAGGGTGGCTGCTCAGTAAGTCTTGCCATAAGAGAAAGGAGAAATTGCTTGCGCGCTTCATCAAGTAAGAGAGAGGATCTTATGCCAAAAAGATCACCGGCTCTGAAGGCCTGCAATTGTGACTTTAGTTCCGGTGGTTCGCTTTGCTGCCGGGGTGCAACATTTGTGAGACTTCGAATGTAGTGGTCCGTATGCCCCTCCCCCTCGCCAAGCCTGAAGAAAGGAGCAACTTAGATACCTCTTTGTTAACTATATTCCTGGTTTGCTAAAAGGGTCCTTGGGCCCAATCAATCTCTATACTATTGATGCAATGGACTCCCCAAAGCCACTAAACCACTCTCTTCCACCCGATTTGAACTGAACCTCGTTCTAGTGATATTTCTCCCTTTTAAAACTGAAACTCAGTTGCCTATCTGATCCTTGGTCTAATTGGGCCTTTCTCTATAGCTCGAATAGAATAGCTGGGCTAGCCCTTCCCTGGCTTGGTTGGTTATATAAGAGAATTCCGG